TTTTTGAGTTGGAGTCTCACTCTGTCACCCAGGCTGGAGTGCCATGGCACACTCATGGCCACCCCAGTGTCAACCTGCTGGGCTCTGGTGATTCTTCTGCCTCAGCCTTTCCAGAAGCTGGAACTACAGGCATGCACTACCATGCCCGGCTAATTTTTGATTTATTGTAAAGACAATGTCTCGTCAAGTTGTCCGGGCTGGTCTCAAACCCGCGGGCTCAAGCGATGCACTCGCCTCAGCCTCTAAAAGTACTGGGATTACAGGCGAAGCCACAGAGCCCAGACTACTTTCTTAAGAGATTTATGTCTTCGGCTAAATTATTTAACTTTTCTGAGCTTCCTTTTCACATTTTAGAAATAGAAGACGGCATAGTAAAAATTAAATGGCATAAGCAGTCTTTAATATAATGGTTGGTACATTATAGGGACTCAATAAATTTTAGCTATTATAATTTTCTTTTCTTTTCTTTTCTTTTTTGAGTCAGAGTCTCACTTTGTCTCCCAGGCTGGAGTGCAGTGGCATGCTCATGGCCACCCGCAGCCTTGACATACTGGGCTCAAGTGAATCTTCTGATTCAGCCAAGTAGCTGGAATTATAGGCGTATGCCACCATACCTGGGCTAATTTTTTGATTTATTGTGGAGACAAGGTCTTGCCAAGTTGCTCAGGCTGGTCTCAAACTCTTGGGCTCAGGCAATCCTCTTGCCTCCACTTCCCAAAGTGCTGGGATTACAAGTACAAGCCACCACACCCAGTCAGCTATTATAATTATTAGGACAAATATGATTGCTCTCCTTTTAAAGATGAGCAGGGCCAGGCATGGTGGCTCACACCTATAATCCCAGTGCTTTGAGAGGCTGAGATGGGAGGATTGCTTGAGGAATGCAAGACAAATAAATATTATTTTTTTTTTTTTTGAGTTGGAGTCCACTCCTTCACCCAGACTGGAGTGCAGTGGCGGCTCCCAGCCACCGCAGCCTCGACTTGCTGGGCTCCGGCGATCCTTCCACCTCAGCCTTCCAAGTACCCGGAATTACAGGCGTGCGCTACCACACCCACTGATTTTTTGATTTATTGTAGAGATGAGGTCTCGCTGCCCAGGCGGGTCTCGAACCCGCGAGCTCAGGCAATCCCAAAGGCACGGGATTACAGGCTGAGCCACCGAGCCCGGCTCGAGACAAATAAATATTAGCAGTTATTCAGGTCTTGTGATTTCCAGTCTGGGACGCTTTCCACTTTATGAAAACTAGAGCAACTGTTGATCAGTGGCTTTGAGCCCAGAGAGATTTACCTGCCAAAGGTTCAGGCCGAGAACACTGATGTTATAATAGTGACAAATGGTAGGGTCAGGCTTATATTTAGGGTTGTCTCTTTCTGGATGAATCCACTCCCCCTGGTAACTGGGATTGTCAATGATCCAAGGTTTCCACTGTCCCTAAGCAAAGAACCAAAGAGTGAACATGGCATTAGTATTTTTTCATTCTTCTGGTCTCATGCAATGAGAAAGGCCAATCAATTTACATAGACAGTTGTGTATTAGGACTTAAGGATTCAGAGCAGGATTCCTGGAGCTGCTTTCCCTTCCTTTGAGTCAATGCACAAGACTCTTCCAACTTCCCCCTTTTTACCCAGAAGGAGCCAAACGAGGTGGCAGCGTCCATTACTGAGCCCAGACCCATCTGGGCACAAGCTCAATCATGAAGTTAAGAAAGTGTAGCTTCTCAGAGGACATTATCTAAGTACTGGCACTTGGGGCCATTCTCTTCTTGGTGTGTAGCATAAGAAAATGTGGCCAAATAAAAGCATGCTTGCCTTTTATTATTATGTCCAGACCATTTGACAGTTGACTCCTTCAGTTCTTGCTTCTGACACGAGGTCAGGAGCTAGCCCATAAAAAGAAATGCCCTCACCCCCTCACCCCCTCACCTTTGACTCATTCATGTCCTACCCTTTCTCTTTCTGGCCCACTTCTAAGGCTTCCCGTTCCTGACCCCAGACCCATTTCCTGTAATGATGATGTTCCTGGGACTGTCTGCTTTCTGCCACTCTGGACAAACTTCCTGCCCAGGTACTGCCTTTATCAGCTCCCCTCTCCCAAGTAGATACCGCCCTGAAAGCAGGGCTCAGATGAAGCCACAGTCTTCTTTAGGGGGTGAAGAGGCAAGAACATGACCATAGGATGTCAGAGCCCCTGTTTTGTAAATTAAAATTTGCATCTTTTCTGTCTTATTTCTTACATCCATTAGAAAGACAGACCCCCCCCCTTACCTTATATTTTGGGTTTAGAATCAGAGGCTCTTCCCACTCCCCATTCATAGCCTCATTCCAGTCATCTGGCTTCTTGGCCTTTGGGTCTGGGATATACTCAAAGTCCTCCCAGTTCTAGAATGAAATATTCCTTCATGAGGATAGACGAGTGAACTGGGAAGCAAATGGGGTCCAGAATAAAATCAGGCTGGACCTGACTCCCTACCTCCACTACCCTCCTGTCCTACCTGTAAGAAGGCCCAGCTCAGGGTCCTGCAAACAAACCCAGAAGGAAAAAAAAAAAGGCTTTAAGCAACTCTAGCACTTTCTCTAGGTTCACTATTGCTCTGATCTCAAGTTCTTTGAACTCAAATAAAATGGGAATATCCCTTGTCTCTGACTTCACCCTTCTCTCAATAATATGCCCTTATAATCACAATAGGTCATCCAGCCTGGATCCTTCTCCTTGAAGACCTCTTGGTGATCTGCTTTACATCCCAGGATGCTCCCAGGCCTTTATCAGTCCTCCCTTGGGTGCCCTGAGCCTGCCTGCTGGGTCTGGCAGGAATCTAGCCCCTTATTTTTCCATGGTGCTGAAGGCCAGACACATGACCTGATCATCTGCCTTAATTTCCTGACGAGGCGGAGTACGGTGGCTCATGCCTATAATCCTAGCACTTTGGGAAGCTGAGGTGAGAGGATTGCCTGAACCCATGGATTTGAGACTAGCCTGGGCAACTTGGCGAAACCTCGTCTCTACGATAAATCAAAAATTAGCTGGGCATGGTGGCCCATGCCTGTTTCAGCTATTTGCAAGGCTGAGACAGAAGGATCGCCTGAGCCCAACAGGTCGAGGCTGTGGTGGCCATGAGCATGCCAATGCCCTCTAGCCTGGGCAACAGAGTGCAATGCCGACTAAAAAAAAAAGAAATCCCTACCATGCCTTCCCCACTCCTGGGTTTGGAGCGCTTTCCTAAATCTCCCTAGACATGGCTGACCAGGGCCCACCTATCTATAGACTGCTCTTTATGCACAGGACTCCAACTGCTGGATCCCATGCTGCCAGACCTCAAGTGTCTCCTCTGCAGGAAGCTGACCCTGCTCTGACCTGTGGAGTAGCAACATGGCAAATGGTGCCCTCCATGGCTTGGCTCCAAAACGTTTTTCCAATCTCATTTCCTACCGTAACCCATCTCGAAACTGATAGTCCCAAGATACTGAACTGCAGCTTTCACTGCTTTACACAACTATGTGATCTTACAGCTAACAACTGTGCATTTGCTACTGCTGTTCCCTGGGTCTGTAATGTTCTCCCTTCAGCCCAATTTCCTAATGACTTTGTTCTAATAAATCCATTACTTGAAATTCAGTATATTATTAACATACAAAGGCCATATATTAAGGACTTACTATGTACCAGCCAGGCACTACATTACATATTTTTATTGTTTACTTTTTGTTTGTTTGTTTGAGTCAGAGTCTCACTCGGTCACCCAGGCTGGAGTGCAATGGCATGCTCACGGTCACCCCAGCCTTGACCTGCTGGGGTCTGACAATCCTTCTGCCTCAACTTTCCAAGTAGCTGGAACTACAGGCATGCACCACCACACCCAGTTAATTTTTCTTGATTCATTATAGAGATGAGGTCTCACCAAGTTGCCCAGGCTGGTCTCGAACCCCTGGGCGCTGGCAATCCTCTTGCCTAGGCCTCCCAAAATGCTGGGATTGCACGCGTGAGCCACCATGCCCAGCCTATTATATATTTTTATTAGCTCTTTTAATCTTCACAACAACCTTCACATATAGATATTATAGTAATTCCTGTTTGTGAAATTGACTTTCCTTGTTGAGGGCATAACTGCTACTAGGATGGGGTCTCATGGTTAGTAAATGGTGGCTCTCAGATTCAAACCTTTATATGTCTGACCCCAGAGACTACGTTCCCAACTCCTGGATTAACTCAATCACCCAAATATTTCCTTCTCTTTCAAGATCACTGCCTACACCCCACCCCAGGTTGAGTTAGGATTCTTTTAGGCTCTCACAGGTTTTGGCTTCTCTGGCTCTCAGCACTGATCATACAGTGTGATCTTTGTTCTCTTGTCTACCTCCCTCACTATACCCTGAGCCTAGAGGGCAAGGATTGTCCCATCCATAGTCATATCAAGCACAGCTTTCCAGAACAATAACGAGTCAATGAACAGACTCCACACATTCCCCATAGTGATAAATCTGGTGTCAAAGAGATGTAGGTTCAATCTTGGTACTAACACGTATGTACTTGGGCAAGTCACTTCATTTTCTTTCTTTCTTTCTTTCTTTCTCTCTCTCTTTCTTTCTCTCTCTCTCTCTTTCTTTCTCTCTCTCTTTCTTTCTTTCTCTCTCTCTTTTTTTTTTTGAGTTGGCATCTCACTCTGTCATCCAGCACTGCAGCCTTGATCTGCTAAACTCGGGTGATCTTTCTGCCTCAGCCTTCCTAGTAGCTGAAACTACAGGTGCAAGCCATCACACCAAGCTAATTTTTTGACTTATTGTAGTGACAAGGTCTCTCCAAGTTGCCCAGTATGGTCTCGAATCTGTGGGCTCAGGCAATCCTCTTACCTCAGCCTCCCAAAGTGCTGTGATTATAGGCATGAGCCACCATGCCAGCCAAGTCACTTCATTTCTAAGCATCAATTTCCTTGTCCACCAAAGAGAGATCATAGCATTCTGTTCACAGAGGCTGCCAGAAGATCAACAGATGCTCAACAAAGACAAGCAGCTGCCCTCTTCCCTCCACGTCTTTTTGGATAGCAATATTTAGTCAGACCTCTCCTTGAGGCATCGAGGCCCCCAGTCTCTGCCCTATCATACCCAGCCTCCTTCTCCTATCTCCACAGCTTCCCAGCCAAACACCCTCTGACCTCAGGCTTCTGATCTTCAGGATCCTCTATTTGCAGGCGTACATCGCTTTTCCTTGGTTTCCGAACATACAGGTCTTTTATTTTCTTAGGCGGCAAGAAGTCCCAGTCATCCTCCAGATTGCCAGCTGCCACTTGCTGGTTGTCAATTTTGACCTCATAAGTAGCATTGGGGCGAATGACCAGAGTGTACAAGTGAGTGTCTTTATTGATCTATAAAGGAAATGGGAAATATTTCAGTTCCATAATACACATCTTTTTCCTTTCTTTTGAATTGAGGTGTCACTCTGTCACCCAGACTGGAGTACAGTGGCATGACTGTGGCTCACAGCAGCCTCCAACCCCTGGGCTCAGGCAATCCTTCTGCCTCAGCCACCTGAGCAGCTTGGACTACCAGTACATGTCACCATGCCTGGCTCATTTTTTAATTTTTGGTAGAGATGAGGTCTTTCTGTGCTGCCTAGGCTCTGATAATTCTTGTCATTCTTTGATCCTATTTTTTTTTTTTTTTTACTGTCCTACTAGATGTGAGTTTTGTGTTTTGTTTTGTTTGTTTGTTTGTTTTTTGAGTCAGTATCTCAATCTATTGGTCAGGCCAGAGTGCAGTGGCACACTCACAACCACCGCAGCCTCTACCTGCGGAGCTTAGGCGATCCTCCTGCCTCAGCCATCTAAGTAGCTGGAACTACTGACCCGCACAACCACACCCGGCTGATTTTTTTATTTATTGTAGAGACAAGGTCTCGCCAAGTTGCCCAGGCTGGTCTTGAACCCCTGGGCTCAGGCAATCCTCTCACTTCCACCTCCCAAAGTGTTGGAATTACAGGTGTGAGCCACCATGCCCAACTGACTGTGCGCTTCTTGAGGACAGGGGACACAGATGATTTATCTGTTGTGTCTGCAGCTTCCAGCACAAAGTCTGCCCCAGAGACGGGCCTTAGGGAGCCCCTGCATGGTCAACCTCTGTATAGTCCTACTAAGGAAAGTCTTGGGCTTGAACACAAGTTCTCCAACCACCCAGGCCCTAGGACTTTCCTAGACTCTCCTCCCTCCTCTGCCCTGTCCTCTGGCTGTGCCAAACCTCTTGCAGGCTCAAGTCACCTTGACTTTTCTTCTGTGACTACCTTTCCTAAGAATTCAGTTCTCCCTAAAATTATCACACTCCCTTCTCAAGACCAAGTCACGCTTATCTTCCAAAACTCAGCACAGGAAGCATTCCTAATGCCTCCAAGTTGGGGAGGGGATCTCTGTGCTCCCACAGACCCCCATCATACTAGGTAGTCACTTTCCTTTGCTTGTTCACTTACTGTGAGTTCTAGGAGATCGGGGGCCATGTCAGGCCTGTTCTGTCCCCAAGGACCAGCATACAGCATTCGGTGAATGCCTGTTGAGTTGCTAATAAAATCCATCTACTCTCCTCTATCTAACCTAGGTCTCCCTAACTAGCTGTTACTAAGATAAACTAACTCCCTATTTCTTTTTTTTTTTTTTTTGAGTTGGAGTCTCACTCGGTCGCCCAGACTGGAGTGCAGTGGCCGCTCCCAGCCACCACAGCCTCGACCTGCTGGGCTCCGGCGATCCTTCCACCTCAGCCTTCCTAGTAGCCGGAATTACAGGCATGCGCTACCACGCCCGGCTGATTTTTTGATTTATTGTACTGAGATGAGGTCTCGCTGCCCAGGTGGGTCTCGAACCCGCGGGCTCAGGCAATCCACTCACCTCAGCCTCCCAAAGGTGCGGGATTACAGGCTGAGCCACCAAGCCCGGTTTAACTCCCTATTTCTAAGCCCAGCACTTCCTACCTTCGCCCATCCTCTCCAACGTCTGCTAGTGGGGAACTGGGCCAAGCCAAGCATTGTTCCAAGAGAAGACCTTCTATGACTTCCTAGGCTTTTGGGTCAGCTACACTTTGTGAACTCCTGGTATTTACAGTAGTTCTCTAGGTCTACTTTCAAATCTATAAAGCAGAGATGATAGCATTTAATTTATAGTGTTTTTTATAAGGATTAAATGAGATAACATGTATAAAATGCTTCCCCAAAGGCTGAAGACCAGCCCACACACTCACCCTGCACTTGATGGTCTTGTTGTTCTCATGGTATTTCCCTTGGTGATAAAGGATGACATGTACTTTGTTGTTGCCAAAGCCACAGATGTCAGGGCCTGGAAATGAAATCCCAAAGCATGATTTCACATCGCTGTTAGACAGTTTGTTTGGTCTGAGGCCCAGACCCAAGTCAGACACAGCCTGTGTATCAATCGGGATTCCAGCAGGAAATAGATAACACACTCAAATTTAGGATTATTTGAGAAGGACTTAATACAAAGAATATGTACAAAGGTAAATTATTTTATTTTACTTTTTACAAGGGTAAATGATTTCAGGACATTGAGAAAAGCTCAGGTATAGTGCTCTGCTCAGGGCCAGCCTGGGGTCCTATCCCTAGGCCTGAAGGGGCAAGGAGGAGTGGTTACCAGAGCCCAGGAGAACAAGAGTACTGTGAAGAGGACAGCCAGGAGAAAAGCTGACTTTCAGTTGAGGGGCACAACTCTCTTCTCTCCTTCTGATCTCCTTGCCAGGGCTACCACGGACCAAATCCAACCTGAAACCCTTCTGTGCCAGGCATTTTATATCATGCCATTTAATTTTTACAAGTGGGTGTTACTATCCCCACTTTTAGCTGGGAAAATTGTGGCGCAGGAAAGTTAAGCAGTTTGCCCAAAGTCAAACAGTTAATAAGTAGCATTGCTGGGATTCAAACTTAAGCTTCCCTAGAAACAGAGCCTGGGGCCATTTGTGCTTTGTGAAAACTCTAGGGGGAGCTCTCGAGTTGATCAGTGTCTCTGAGCCCAGAAAGCTTCACCTGCCAGAAGTCCAGAATAGGTTTTCATGTAATTCTCAACCTTATCGCCCATGTTACCGCTCTCTGACTACCCAAAATACACGCACGTGCACACACTCATGCGTGCACGGACGTACACACTTATGTGTAATGTGCTATGGCCATTCTAGTCTCACCATTTCTCTACTTTCATTTGAATTTCATGACTCTGAGCTTTTGTACAGTTTTTGTTTTATTGTTGCTATTGTTGTTTTTTGAGTCGGAGCCTCACTCTGTCGCCCAGGCTGGAATGCAGTGGCACAATCACGGCCACCCCAGCATCGACCTGCTAGTCTCCGGCAATCCTTCCGCCTCAGCCTTCCAAGTAGCCAGAACTACAGGTGCACGCTACCATGCCCGGCTAATTTTTTCATTTAATGTAGAGACGAGGACTCATCATGTTGCCCAGGCTGGTCTCCTCTCACCTCAGCCTCTCAAAGTGCTGGGATTCCAGGCTTGAACCACCACGCCTGTCCTTAAAAGTATATTTTTTTGCTCTGCCCTTTAAAAAATTATTCACATGCCTGAAGGTAGAAGGGTGAAGTAAAAAAACTACAGGCTGTAGAGCCTGAAAGACTAGGTTAAGATTCTGGCTTCCGCCTTACCCACCGTGGGCAAATTTCTGGCCTCCATTTCCTCATCTGTAAAATGAAAATAACAAGAGCCTAATCTTGTTGGGTTGTTTGAGCATCAAATAAATAATATCCACATGAAAGGAAAAACAATCATTTTAAAAAGTATTTTCACAACTCAGCAAAACCTCATCTCTACAATAAATCAAAAAATTAGCCGGGTGTGGCAGCACGTGCCTGTAGTTCCAGCTACTTGGAAGACTGAGACGGAAGGATCACCTGAGCCCAGCAGGTCGAGGTTGCAGTGGCCAGGAGCATGTCACTGCCCTCCAGCTTGGGTGACAGAGTGAGACTCCAATTCAAATAAATAAATAAATAAATATTTCCAGTTTCCTTACTACCACCACCACATACATGAACTCCTTATGAGAAAGGTGGATTCTGAAGAAAATTGAAAGATGAACAAAGACACACATTTTAGAGACCCAGAGGACTATATTGCTCCACATAAGAAAGAGATTAGCTGGGCACAGTGACTCACATGTGTAATACCAGCACTTTGGAATTACATTGAAGGATTGCCTGAGCCCAGGGGTTTGAGACCAGCCTGTGTAACTTGGCGAGACCTGGTCTCTACAATATCAAAAAAATTAGCCAGTTGTGGTGGCGTACACCTGTAGTTCCAATGACTTGGAAGACTGAGGTGGAAGGATCACCTGAGCCCAGAGGGCCAAGGCTGCAGTGCATGGCACTGTACTTCAGCCTGGATGACAGAGTGAGACTCCCACTCAAAAAAAAGAAGAAGAAGAAGGCCGGGTACGGTGGCTCAAAACTGTAATTCTAGCACTTTGGGAGACTGAGGTGAGAGGATTGACTGAGCCCAGGGGTTAGAGATCAGCCTGGGCAACTTGGTGAGACCTTGACTCTACAATAAAATTAGCCAGCTACTTGTGTGTGTGTCTGTAGTTCCAGCTACTTGGAAGATTGAGGTGGAAGGATCGCCTGAGCCCAGCAGGTCGAAGCTACTGTGGCCGTAAGTGTGCCACTACACTCCAGTCTGGGTGACTAACTTAAAAAAAAAAAAAAAAAGAGATTGACTTCTGGGCTCAGTGGCTCATGCCTATAATCCTAGCACTTCGGGAGGCCGAGGTGGAAGGATTACCTGAGGCTAGGAGTTCTAGACAGCCTGTGCAACAAAGTGAGACTCTGTCTCTACAAAAAAATAGAAAAATAAGCTGGAAGTGGTGGCACACACCTGTAGTCCCAGCTACTTAGGAAGCTGAGGCAGGAGGATTGCTTGAGCCCAGGGGTTCAAGGCTGTAATGTACCATAATTATGCCACTGTACTCCAGCCTGGGTAAGAGAGTGAAATCCTGTTTCAAAAAAGAGAGAAATTGAAAGATGAAAAAAAGGGAGTGGTAGGAAGGATGCAGACAGGAAAAGGGCAGAGGCTGAAGAGAAGGATTTTTATTTTTGGGTCAGACTCTCACTCTGTTGCCCAGGCTGGAGGGCAGTGGCACCCTCACAGCCACTGCAGCCTCAACCTGCTGGGCTCAGGCAATCCTTCCGTCTCAGCCTTCCAAGTAGCTGGAACTACAGGCGCTTGCACCACCACATCCAGCTAATTTTTTGATTTATTGTAGAGATGAGGTCTTACCAAGCTGCTCAGGCTGGTCTCAAACCCGCAGGCTCAGGTAATCCTCTCACCTCAGTCTCCCAAAGTGCTAGGATTATAAGCGTGAGCCACTACGCCCAGCCAGAACAGGAGGATTTTGGCGTGGGCTTGAAGAGAGAGTTCTGATGCGGGGGAAAAAAAAGAAATGTTTAGAAAGAATTTTAAGGAAATTTTGCTGTGTGATATTTAGTGTAACCTTTTCTCTGACTTTGTACAAAAACATTCAGTAAAATCTATATTATTCATCTGTGCTTTGGGAGTTGGATTGTTTGATTTTATAATATCAACAAAGTTGATACTGAATTCAAGGTTGAAGTCAAGTAAGAGCTGGACTGTGCCAAGGAGGCCTAGTCACATATTTTGGTTACATATGCAACACTCTGGACACACTACAGATGCTTCATAAAGGTAGCGTCCCTGACCTCCTGTGCCTTTCTCTCACTGAGTTACTAGTGCTAGGATTATAAGCATGAGCCACCACGCCCAGCCGGAACAGGAGGATTTTGGCGTGGGCTTGAAGAGAGAGTTCTGATGCTGGGGGAAAAAAAGAAATGTTTAGAAAGAATTTTAAGGAAATTTTGCTGTGTGATATTTAGTGTAACCTTTTCTCTGACTTTGTACAAAAACATTCAGTAAAATCTATATTATTCATCTGTGCTTTGGGAGTTGGATTGTTTGATTTTATAATATCAACAAAGTTGATACTGAATTCAAGGTTGGAGTCAAGTAAGAGCTGGACTGTGCCAAGGAGGCCTAGTCACATATTTTGGTTATATATGCAACACTCTGAACACACTACAGATGCTTCATAAAGATAGCGTCCCTGACCTCCTGTGCCTTTCTCTCACTGAGTTACAGTACCTTATCCTAGCAGGTATTTTGAAGGATCTACATAGTTTATGACTTTCTTCTTTTCTGAGAACTGGGGCATGTCTCCCTGTACTGTAGACTTGGTTTTTGTTGTTGTTTTGTTTGTTTGTTTTAGTTGAATTCGTACACTGTCCCAGGCTGGAGCAGAGAGGCATGATCACAACCACTGCAGCCTGGACCTGCTGGGCTTCTGTCTCAGCCTTCCAAGTAGGTGGGCTACAGGCATGCACCACCACACCCAGCTAATTTTTTAGTTTATTGTAGAGACAAGGTCTTACCAAGTTGCCCAAGCTGGTCTCAGACTCCCGGGTTCAGATAATCCTCTCGTCTCTGCCTCCCAAAGTTACTACAGGCATGAGCCACCATGTCCAGCAGTAGACTTGTTAATATTGTACCATGAGCCTCTTTGGCCTATTTACAATAACACTTAGATTTAGAATTGCTTTTTTCAGGTCTTTGAAGAGTCTTACCACAAGTGAGGGTAACTGTCACACTAGAAATGTTCTGTTCCAGTCGGGTCCAGTGACTCACGCCTGTAATCCCAGAACTTTGAGAGACGAAGGTGAGAGGATTTCCTGAGTCCAGAGGTACAGCCTGGGCAACATGGCGAGACCTCATCTCTACAATAAATTAAAAAATTAGCCTGGCATGGTGGTGCATGCCCATGGTTCCAGCTAAGGTGGAGGGATTGCTGTGAACGTGCCACTGGACTCCAGCCTGGGCAACAGAGTGAGACTATAACTCAAAAAACAAATAAATTCTATCTCAAGTCAATCTGAACATTTTCAACAACTCCAGTGGCTCTCATCAGGACCCGATGGGACTGACAGCATCTGCTATTAGAGCTTACCAAACATGATGTAATACTCAGATTCCGAATGCATATCCTCCTGCTTCAGGGTGGCAGGAAAGAGTTTCACATACCTGCCACCACAATCGATGCCTTGCTCATGTTTTACTGAAAACTGAACCACCAAGGTCTCATTCTCATTGCTGAATGGTTTAAACCTGGTTGAGAGGGCATAAAACTTGGCATCTTCGCTGGTCTGGAGACCTGGGAGCAGAAAGCACAGAGTCTTCAGGCTTAAATACCCAAAAAGCAGTTAGAGAGACCTGGCCCTCAATCTCTGATATTTTCTTACACACCTGTTGTGTGCCAGGTGCAGTACTGAAAGCTTTGAATACATTAGCTTATTCAAGCCTCGGAGCAACCCTGCAAAATGGGTATTATTCCCACTTTACAATCAGGAAGCAGAGTCACCACAAAGGTGAATGACCTGCCGACTGCCACATAGCTAATGAGGAACCAAGCTGGAATTTTACACCACACTTGTCCAATGCTTTCTTTTCTCTCTACCATGCTACCTCTGATTTTCAAGATATACTTGAATATTGTTCTGAATCTCTGAAGCCCCCTGGGTGACCAGAATGAGACTCTGCCATGTACTAGTGCTGTGGTAGAAAAAGACCCAGCACTGCCTCTTAGAGCTAATAATCATTGCTAATATTTGGCAGGGCGCAGTGGCTTGTAATTCCAACACTTTGGGAGGCTGAGGCAAGAGGATTGCTTGAGCCTAGAGTTTGAAACCAGCATAGGCAACACAGCAAATCCTTGTCATAGCCGGGCACGGTGGCTCAGTTTATAATCCCAGCACTTTGGGAGGCAGAGATGAGAGAGCTGCCTGAGCCCAGGGGTTTGAGACCAACCTGAGCAACTTGATGAGACCTTGTCTCCACAATAAATAAAAAAATTAGCTGGGCGTGATAGCGTGCACTTGTAGTTCCAGCTACTAGGAAGACTGAGGCAAAAAGAATCGCCTGAGCCCAGCAGGTCGAGGCTGCAGTGGCCATGAGCATGCCACTGCACTCTAGCCTGGGTGACAGAGTGAGACTCCAATTAAAAAAAAAAAACAAAAATCAAGAATTTAGCTCATAGCCGGGCGTGGTGACTCACGTCTGTAATCCCAGCACTTTTGGAGGCGGAGGAGATTATTGCCTGAGCTCACTGGTTTGAGACCAGCCTGGGCAACATGGCAAGACCTCATCTCTACAATAAATAAAAAAATAAGCTTGGGTGTGGTGGCGCATGCCTATAGCTCCCACTACTTGGAAGGCTGAGGTAGAAGGATGACCTGAAGCCCGAAGGTCAAAGCTGTGGTGGCCATAAGCATGCCACTGCACTCCTGCCTAGGAAACAGAGTGAGTCTCTGAATAAAATAAAAAAAAAAAAAAAACATAAAAATAAATTAACTCAGGAGGCAGATGGATCACCTGCACCCAGGAAGTCAAGGCTACAGTGAGCCATGATCATCCCTCGGGACTCTAACCTGGGTGACAGAGTAAGACCCTGATGTAAGGCTGGGCTCGGTGGCTCAGCCTGTAATCCCAGTGCTTTGGGAGGCTGAGGTGAGTGGATTGCCTGAGCCCACGGATTCGAGACCCTCCTGGGCAACTTGGCGAGACCTCATCTCTACAATAAATAAAAAATTAGCCAGGCGTGGTAGCGCGCGCCTGTACTTCCAGCTACTTGGAAGGCTAAGGCGGAAGGATCGCCGGAGCCCAGCAGGTCGAGGCTGTGGTGGCTGGGAGCGGCCACTGCACTCCAGCCTGGGCGACAGAGTGAGACTCCAACTCAAAAAACAAACCAAAACCAAAAAAAGACCCTGATGCAAATAAAAAAAAAAAACAATCATTGCTAGTATTTACTGAACTCTCATTCACATGTCACTGTACTTTATCCTCATAATAACCCCTTGAGGTGGGCTCTACTGATATACCTACTTTATCAGGAAGTCATTAAGTGTATTTCAATAGTCCAGGATCACCCAACCTGTCCATCTAATTCCAGAGCCCCTACCATCAGCCATAAGACTTGACTTCTTCCTCCAGAGAGTACCATTGTCACTGTAAGGATTCTCAGAGTCTTTCTAACCACACTACTTTACAGGTGTAGAAACCAAGCCCCAGAGAGTGAAAGTTACTTATCCAAGATCACAGAGTCGGCATATAAGTCAAGTCCTCTGGCTTCCAGGTTAGTAGTTTTTCTATTATTCCATTGCTGCTGCCCAGCTTACTGGCTATGGCTCTGTTAAGTTCCTGAGTCTCCATTCCTCATCAGCAAAATGTGGATACTTATTCCTCTCAAGATTCCTGATGAAGTTCAAATGAGTAAGAGATACGAGGAGTACTTTGTAAACTGTTAACACACAATGCAGGGGGCACTGTACTTGCACCTGGTGGGGTCCTTCCTCCACGATCCCGCAGCTCTCTGTAGTTGATTGAATTGCACTATATTGAAACTGGGTTTATTTCAACTCCTTTGAATAATTTTTAGCTCCTGAATAACAGGGACAACTCTACATTCCCAGCATCTAGGACAGGGCCTAGCATAGAGGAAGTGCTAACTAAATGAAGATGTGTTCAATTGAGGCCGGGCATGGTGGTGCATGCCTGTAATCCCAGCACATTGGGAAGCCAAGGCAGGAGGCTCGCTTGAGTCCACCAGTATGAGACCAACCTAGGTAACATGATGAAAAAAATGTTAAATCTACAAAAAAAAAAAGAAAGAAAATTAGCCAGTATGGTAGTGTACACCTGTTGTCTCAGCTACATGGGAGATTGAGACTGAAGGATAGCCTGAGCCCAGGAGGTCGAGTCTGCAGTGAGCCATGATTGTGCCACCGCACTTCAGCCTGGGTGACAGAGACTCAGACTCAAAAAAAAAAATGTGTTAAATTACACAGAAGGATCACAGGATTCAGATATTGGCTCTTGAGCATTTATTTCTCACCGGGTTCTGTTGTAAACACTTTCATGTCTGACACTTCATGTCTACATTTTATTTGTTTTTTATGTATTTTTTTTAAGACAGGGTCTTGCTATGTTGCCCAGATTGGTCTTGAACTCCTAGACTCAAGTGATTCTCCTGCCTCAGCCTCCTGAGTAGCTGGAATTGCAACACATGACACTGTGCCTGGCTTTACATTTCAAAGAGTATGCTGGTCAGTCACGATGGTTCAACCTGTAATCCCAGCACTTTGGGAGGCAGAGGTGAGAGGATTGCCTAAACTTGGGGATTCGAGATCAGCCTGGGCAACTTGATGAGACCTCATCTCTGCAATAAATCACACACACAAAAAATAGCCAGGCGTGGTGGCGTGTGTCTGTATTTCCAGCTACTTGGAAGGCTGAGGTGGAAAGACTGCCTGAGCCTAGCAAGACGAGGCTGCAGTGGCCGAGAGCGTGCCACTGCCCTCCAGCCTGGGAGACAGAGTGAGACTCTTACTCAAAAAAAAAAAAAAAAAAAGAGTACGCTTACTTCCCCAAAGACCTCAAAGAGGGCTGGAGTAGCCAGTGAAGACTGTGTGGAGAAGAGAGTGTGCACAAGAGAAAGACCACTGAACCTATAAACAGAAGATCAAGCTTTGAATCTCTCTGCTCTGCCAAACCCTCTGTGTAGCCCGATACAATCTCCACTCCCTCTGAGCCTCATTTGTCCCCCAGAGTCCTTCTAGACAACCATGGGAAACCTGATGAACTCAAGAGGCATGAGGCATGAGCGGCAACAACCAAGAATCACTCTGATGGGCAGTTGAGCAGACTGCCCTCACTGGGGTCACCGAGGCAAGGTATCCCATGGGTTACTTAGTCTCTAGTTCTCTCTCCAGTTTTCCAGAGTGAATTTAAATGAGTTTGAAAATGCTCAAGCCAGTTCATAATTCTCTTCTTTAATCAACATGAAAATGAGATTCATAACAGCAGCCAGGAGGGAGAAGATGGGAAATCACTCCAGGGGACGATCAATGGGTGCTATTTATAAGACAAAAGCTTTCTCAGACAAAAAGCCCAGGCCTGCAGAACTTGTCCTCAGAGCTCACCCTTCCTCCATAATATTATTTAGCTCTTACAACAGCCTGTCTAACGAGCATGGCAGGCAATGCTTATAATCTCCCTCGAATATCAAAACTCAGAGAAGTAAAAAGACTTGCCCAAATTAAGCAGCTCATAGGCTTTGAGAGTTACCCCTATGGCTATCTGCTCCACCCTCCATCACACTAAGAGAAGGGTAACATTTAGACCTTATACAGGGCTTTCCCCTGCTTCAAGTGCAGAGTGCTAGTTGAAAAATCCTAGGAGACTGGGAAAAGCAACATCATCTGGCAGTAAGGAGCACAGTCCCTGGAGTCAGACCCAGAGACAGATCTCAGCTCCACCTCCTGCCAGCTGTGTAGATAGTCTTGGACAAAAAAACGCAACCTCTCTGTGGCTCTGCAAAACTGAGCAAATAACAGTCGTCTCCCTGCATGAAGCTGTTAGGAAGATGAATGGCAATGTGTGAACCGACTTAGTGTTAAATGCCTGTTACTCAATGAATGGACATACTCTTTTTGTAGCGAGTTCAATCTTTTCTATTACTTTTTTCTTTTAAGAACGAGAAATTAGTTGGTGATCATGGACAAAGACAACTGCAAAGAAGTCAGAGTTTTTCCAATCAATCAAATACTGAGTTCCAGTAGTTACCTTTATCTCTCTCTTTGTCCCCATAAAATTTTCCAGCAGTGAGCTGAAATTGACCATAATCCGGCTGATGTTTAGATTCCACCCATCGTTTTTTCCATTTATCTATGGAGTAAAAGAGAAAAAAAAAACATATAGAAATTATTTGTGTTTTCTTAAAGACAATAAGATGCAGCCATTACTGACCAAGGCTTATGGAAGGGGAAAGGGTTTGTCAAGGAATAACTCCAATATTCCTGAAATCCCCCTCACTGTCCAATCGCCTGAATTCCACTACTGGTGCACTGCCACGTGGAGTGGCTCGAATACCAGTTAGTTGAACCACTTATAGATTAATGCCCTACCCACCCTCTTCCATGACCGTTAAGAACTGAAAATCACCCTGGGAATGTATGGTTGAAAGGCATGAAACATTTATTCTCGTAAAAGCAGATGGAAAAATGTGCTTAAGGGGTCTAAGCCTTTATGCATATTTATGTTTAGTAAAATAATAAAATCAGCTCACCAAGTAAAGAGATTAGCAATAACATTTCATACCTTCATAAATTAGTAATGATGATCATGAACAATCAATTTCCATTTACCCTGGTTTGTTGCTTAAACTTTTAAGACTCTCCCTTGTAGTTTCAAAGAGACGCTGATACATTTGTTTTGCTTTGGCATAGATGGCATGTAGACAAAGAGGCTTTCTTTTTGGGTCCTGGCACTCCATCCAAACACTCAGTGCCTTTCTGATTTTATGCTTCAGAGTTGCTGAGTCCTACTTCCTGGGGCCACCAGGATTCCAGAGTAGCAGGACAATTTGGCAGCGTGAGATGGGAAAGACCTTGGAGGTAACAATTATTTCATCTCCTCCCTGCAGCTGAATGGTTATTTCACAAATCTCAGTCCCCAATATCTCGGGTTATGCCTTAGCTCAATCCATGAAAACCCCACATCAACACACATCCAATAAATAAGACCACCTTTCAGAGGCTCTGTCGGTTCCTATTACTCAAGTCCTCCCCTCAGGAGACTCAAGGGACTTGGGCTTACTTTTGAAGGAGTTAAGAACATGTCACTCCAAAATATGCTGCTCTTTGATCTTGTCTGAAGCTTATTTAAAAAAAAAAAAAAAAAAAAAGCTGCCCTGGTATATCGGCTATACTAAATTAAAGGAACTTAAAAAACAGCAGGTGCAAGAAGATCACTCTGACCTTCATTCTGTTTCTTAAAAGCAGTAGATAAAATTTTCATATGAAAGATGTCTTCCTTATAGCAAAAGGAAAGTCAGTTTTCATTATCAAGGACAGGAAGTTGAAGCCAAGGGAAATCTGTATAAACAAGCCTTGCTAAATGAAGAAGGAAGTTGAAGCCAAAGGAAATCTGTATAAACAAGCCTTGCTTCTCTCCCTGGTCACTTCTCTATCAAACTAACTAGCTTAGTCTAAGCCTCTTTGTCTTACCACCTTCTACAGCCTATTATCCTTTGTCCAATTCAGTACATAAGTGATTGACTCTAACTGGTTCTTTGTGTCTTCCTTTCCTTATGGGGGTTCTTATGTCACATAAAACTTATATTAAATAAATGTGTATGTTTTTCTACTGTTAATCTGTCTTAGATCAATTTTATGTTCAGGCCCAGCTGAAAAAAACCGTAAAAGGGAAGGGGTAAAATCTGGCCTCCCCAACACTTTCTGTGGTCTTCCCTTGTCTTTCTCAAGGTCTTGGTATTAAACAGGTCTTGGTGACCACCTCTGTACCTCCCTCTTAAGGAGGACCCCAGGAGTTTCTTTGTGCCTACAGTGTTGTAGCTTTGAATGAAGTGGATCCTGCTTCCCTGACCATTATTAACCCAGTGAAGAATGAGGATTAATGCCAAGGTCAAAAGATTTGTTATATGTTAGGTCTTCATGTGGTTCCCTTAAAAATTAAAAAAGTAAAAAAAACTTTGGGAGGCCGAGGTGAGAGGATTGCCTGAGCCCACGGGTTCGAGACCAGACTGGGCAACTTGGTGAAACCTCGTCTCTACAATAAATCAAAAAACTAGCCAGGCGTGGTGGCACGTGCCTGTAGTTCCGCAACTTGGAAGGCTGAGGCGGAAGGATCATTTGAGCCCAGCAGGTTGTGTCTGCGGTGGCCCTGAGCATGCCACTGCACTCCAGCCTGGGCGACAGAGTGAGACTCTAACTCAAAAAAAAATTTAAAAAATAATAAAAACTGCCTCATTTTTATTTACTCCCATGGACAATGCTATGAGATAGGTATTACTTCTCTCTGCCTGCCAATCTACCTGTATGTTTATCACACAGACCATAGTCACTCAATTACTTATCAACTGGTAAAAAGTCTTGTGTGATGGTAAACAGTACAAGATAAGAATCTAAGCCTTTGCCAGAAGAGGTGTCTCACGTCTGTAATCCCAGTACTTTGGGAGGCAGAGGAGAGAAATTTGCCTGAGCCCAGGGGTCCAAAACCTGCCTGGCCAACTTGGCAAGACCTCGTCTCTACAATAAATCAAAAAAATTAGTTGGGTGTGGTGATGTGTGCCTGTAGTTCCAGCTACTTGAAAAGTTAAGGGGGAAGGATTGCCTGAGCCCAGCAGATGGAGGTTACAGTGGCCATGATCATGCCCCTGCACTCCAGCCTGGGCAACAGAGTGACACTCCAACTCAAAAAATAAGATAAATCTGAGTCTTTCCACCTATTTCTGTGTATTACTGGGTGAATTACTTTTTTGAATCTGTATCCTCATCTATGAATAAGGATTACATTTAAACTCTTTAAGAAAGGAACCCTGTGTACAGAGTAGGTGCTCAGTAAATGTTTGTTGAATACTAGATTGGCATGAGAATCAAATTATTGTTATTATTCTTTTGAGTCAGAGTTTCACTCTGTTGCCCAGGGCTGGAGTGTAGTGGCAAGATCACAGTCACCACCAAATTAGCTGGGCGTGGTGGCACGTATCTGTAGTTCCAGCTACTTGGAAGACTGAGATGGAAGAATCACCTGAGCCTAGCAGGTCCAGGCTGCAGTGGCCACGAGTGTGCCGCTGCACTCCAGCCTGGGCAACAGAGTGAGACTTCCATTCAAAAAAAGAAGAAGAAGAAAAAGATTAGTTATTCACTTAACTATTTACAAAGAACCTCTACTGTACCAGTCTGAGTGCTAGATGCCAGAGTACTAAAGTGAGCACAAAAATTCCTCAAGCTTTTAAGCTCTGTAGGGGCTCACAATCTAATGGGGAGACAGGTTAAAAAAAAAAAAAAAGCATCTGTTTTTCTTATTTTTTATTTCCTGATTTTTAAATTTTGAGTCAGTGTCTCATTCTGTCGCCAGGCTGAAGTGCAGTGGCACACTCATGGCCACCGCTGCCTCTACCTGCTGGGCTCAGGTGATCCTTCTGCCTCAGCCTTCCAAGTAACTGAAACAACAGGCATGTGCCACCATGCCCGGCTAATTTTTTGATTTATTGTAGAGACTAAGTCTCACCCAGTCACCTAGACTGGTCTCGAACCCCAAGACTCAGGCAATTCTCTCGCCTCTGCCTTCCAAAGTGCTGGGATTACCAGCTTCCTACCTTTTCTATAATAAATATTTTACTTTTAAAAATCAGGAAAGTGGGGCACGGTGGCTCAAGTCTGTAATCCCAGCACTTTGGGAGGTGGAGGCGAGAAGATTGCCTGAGTTCAAGGGTTTGAGAGCATGCTGGGTGACTGAGTGAGACTTCATTTCTACAATAAATCAAAAAATTAGTCGGACATGGTAGCATGTGCCTATGGTTCCAGCTACTTGGAAGGCTGAGGTGGAAGGATTGCCTGAGCCCAGCAGATCAAGGCTGGGATGGCTGTGAGTGTGCCACTGCACTCCAGCCTGGGCAACAGAGTGAGACAACAACTCAAGGGAAAAAAAAGAAAATGTAGGTATCCCAGAAGAAGCAATGAGCAGTAAAAACACCTATGCTATCTACCTCTCAGAGATGACCATTGTTAATATTTTGATATACTATATTTCCTTCTAGGCTTTGTTTAATGACTTTTTTCTGTATACAGCTTTTTCCCTCTTTTTTAATAGAGATGGAGATCTCACTATGTTGCCCAGGCTGGTCTCAAACTGCTGGGTTCAAGCAATCCTCCCACCTCAGCCTCCCAAAGTGCTGGGATTACAGGTGTGAGCCACCATGCCCAGCCTGAATTTTTTTCTATATACTTGAACATGTTCTCTTTTTCTGTCTTTCTTTCATACCTTCCACTCCCACATAATTTGTATTCTACTTTTTTTCACTTACAATTATATTCATTTTCCTTTTTTGTGTGTGAGAAAGCAGAATTTATTAAGAGTACAAAAAAGCCCCCACAGCAGGAGGGAACCCAAGGAGGTTGTCCCATTTTCTTTTTTTTATAAATGTATGCTATTGTCCAATATACTCATTTTCCTATGTCATTAAAAATTCTTCTGGCTCAGCCTGTAATCCCGCGCCTTTGGGAGGCTGAGGTGAGTGAATTGCCTGAGCCCGCGGGTTCGAGACCCGCCTGGGCAGCGAGACCTCATCTCTACAATAAAAAAATAAAAAAAATAAAAATCAGCCAGGCGTGGTAGCGCATGCCTATAATTCCGGTTACTTGGAAGGCTGAGGCGGAAGGATCGCCGGATCCCAGCAGGTCGAGGCTGCGGTGGCTGGGAGC